ACCTACCTACCTACCTGCCTACCCAGGGAACCAGCTGCAGGCAAATCTTTCTATGGACGACGCAGCTGTATGCCGAAGCTGCACGAAACTGTGGCGATCTTCAGACAACAGGGCCGGAAACAATCTCTGCTCTGCGTTACTACGGTTTCGCTTCCGGTCTCAGGACCAACTCCTAATATGAGCAGAAGTGCAATCTGGTCCTGAACACTACCAATGCCAGTCCACGTCATAGCAGATTACATTGTTTAGCACGAAGGCCAACCTCTTCCCAACAATCTTGTGACATCGACCTGCGTCTCCGTGTTGTTGAGACATTACTTTCGATCCTCATCGCAGGCTCGTCCATGACGTCGAGTTGCCGGACCTAGGACCGGACGGGCTTGGCGTCAGCGAGCCCTTGGTTTGCAGCCCTACAATGACCTCCCTCTCTTAAACAGGTTTTGCTTCATAGGGTTGAGAGTGTAGGTGTAGGGTGCGTCGCATGGTCTCCACGCATGAAATCTTGCATTTCCACTTGCGTGCAAAATTCCAAGTGTTCCTCCTTCCCGGCCTTCCAATGATTTTAAGGGGAGACCTCTCATGAGATCTCTCTCGCTGTCTTGACGTACTGCCTTCTGCCAACCCCAGAAAGCCCGATTCGCAGCTCAGGATTGTCAGTTTTCTTTGTGCTGAGATGTAGCGGCAGGCAGACGGTGCAAACTGTAAGGCATGTCTGCAGCGATGGCAATTTATATCTTATGGCACTATCGTATTGTGAACCTCCCAGCACCCGAAACACCCTGCTATGCTTAGAGAGCCAAGCCTGTCCCGAGCCACCGACTCTGCTTACCACCTGTAGCGCTGCCGGCATGGTTTCAAGGCCTGTGTGATGCTGGGTGAATCAGGCTTCAAGGGTCCATCCACTCTCGGAGACAGCGTTCGACAAGTTCGGTCCTGGCCCACGACTTGCATTTCGTTTTGGCAGATGGGGGGATAGATCGTAGTATGAATCTATGCTTCGGGTTTGGGGGCCTCGGCTTTGCGCAGGCAAGGTCGAGGTTCCACCAGCTACAACGATTGCGATGCTTTTCTGCACACACATTCCGTGGCAAGTGGAGTGTAGGGCCTCCATATCGTGAATTCGAAGCATGTGCCCCAGGAGGAATTGGATGGGAAGTTGCATGCAAACGAGACTGATGCGGCGAGCAGACATGCCCTAGCTGCCCCACTCTTGGTGCCCCGCGTCGGACAGGGAAGCCTTGTCCGGCCCAGGATACCAAGTAATGCCTGACGGAGCACGCCAGGTTGACAATGATGGGGAAATTGCATCCTCTGTATATTGCGGGGCTGGTTGCCGGCAAAATCATCAGTTTCAGTTCGCTCGGCTGAAACCGGCGAAAAGCAACATTGCTAAGTAATCTTGCTGGTGTGCAGCAGCCTCTTGCTGCACGGGATCTTTGCCAAACACAGTGGTTCACTTCCGTGGCAAGTCCAGGATACCTCGTGCACAGTTCTCCTGCTACAACGCAAGCCACAGCGGGCCCTCGCACCGCTCCAGAAGCATTAAACTCCGCTGTCATGCCGGCTGCATTCAGGAACTGATTGCTTCAGTATCTTGCCGCCAGCCCTCCAGGCAAATTCTGGCAAATTAACAAAAGCTGCGTTCAGCATCGGAGCCTTTACTCAATGCCAAAACCTCAACCGCTCCCCTGGTGCCGAAAGGCCCCAACAGGACCTCTTATGATCAGATAATGCCAAAACCTCAACCGCAGACAACACCCACAACCTCCCACCCCACTCCCCCACTCCCACTCCACGCCCTAAGCAGCAGCGCTGCAGCAGCTCCTGAACACCAGGAGCCGCGCTTTCATCACTAAAATGACTACTACTCTCACTCTCCTTGTGACAGTGTGCTGCAGATTCGACTCATGCTACAGTAGTCTTCTGGCAGTACAGCGAGGCTGATAATGACGTCATTGTTATCATCATGACGATACAGGTGATGACGGTGACGAAGGTGATGATGTGAATCGCAGGGTGGTTGCTACGAATCTTGCGTAGAGCGGAGGTATTTGGCGGCCGTATCGTTGCAGTGACGCTCCATGACTCGAACGACTCTCAAGGTAGCAGTAAACCTGCCCGGATGTGAGAACTGAGTAGTGGCAGGGGAATTCTGTCTTAATGGATCGTCCTTCTTCTACAATGTCCGGACTGAGCTAGCCTTGCTACGAAGCATGGCGACCACCATGTCCACATTCTACAACCCCCACGGCTTTACGCTTCTACCGCACCTTCCAAAACCGCCAAAATGCCAAACCTAAAAGCTAGCTATCGAACTCGATATGGGAGATTGAACATATATGGAGCCTAACACAAGCAATCAGGAAAGCCCCTGGGCCCCTGATAGAAGGACACCTCATCTCAGTGTATAGGATCGTCCTTCCGGTGCTCTGCATCGGACAGGCGAACTCCCGAAAGACTGCACGTCGACACCTCAACAGTGTCAACAGCAATGTGATGCAAACGTAACGCAACGTTTGAATGTGGCCTGCCAAAGCACACCCCTAATTAGTCTCACAAGACATCTCCAACGCCATAACGTATCTCCGAAAACATCCAGCTCATGTCGCAAACCCTTGCGGGCCGTTGATGTTGGCTTGCTGTTTTGAAGGCCCGAGGTTTTTTGATTTTCAGGTGCAACTCAGGTCTTTGTTGTTTCCAACTTTCCGAACTCAACTTCGACCGAAGAACTAGCTTTGAGTACAGACGGAAGGAACTTCGGATCCTTAGTCGGGAACCGTGAGATGGCAGCTTCAAGAAAGTGATGGGACTTGAGCTATCCTGAGCCGCGTGAACTGGTCAAAACCAAAACAAAAACCTGCACGCTCTTTGCCACTGATAAAGCCCTTTTGCTGATGGCGAAGGTACTCGGCAGCCTTGCTAGGCAGAGGCCAGAAAAAAGGGGCTGTGCTGTGCATGACACATGTGAGAAATGTGCAAAGTGCATCACTCATTCTTCCACTTCGGGAAGTAAGAATGGGTCCGGATGCCGTTTCGTTCCAGCAGCAGGCTTCGGCTTGCTGCTGAGCTTGGCCTTGGCCTTCACGGTGTCGTCTTACCTTTGGCTTTGGCCTTGGCCAGTGTCGCTTTGGCTTTGTCATTTGCCAGAGTCACTGTCCTTGTCTGGAGAGGTGCTCGTGCTCCGGGGCGCATCTTCCTGCTGTCGAGGAAGCGCAAAGTGTAGGCTTCTCGATGCAACTTGCAACCACCTCTCGAGACAAGGAACGCTGCAGCTTCTCAGCGATCGCGCATCTGGCAATCTTGACATGCCCTTGCGTCTGTTCAGGTATTTGATGCCAGCATCGGCCCACAAGAAGTGCATATGCTCCTCGACCTCTGACGCGAATGTCTTGAAGCGCGCAACTGCATCTGCAGACCCTACCGACATTGAGCCGGTGGAGAAGGACTCTGCTGGGCCAGTGGACCGACTCGGCTGCAGAGCTTCTCGTGGCTCTCTCCAGTTTTGCTAGCTTTGACAAGTGCCAGCATCTTTGTTCGGCCGGTGCCAGTCTTTTGAGAGACGGTGCAGTCGCCAACTCGGGCGTACTATGCAGGGCATCCGTACCTGTTCCCGTCCTTTTAGGCGGCGCCTGGCCTCATCCATGATATCAGCATCCGTACTTGTGGGAGCTTTTCTAGGCGGCGTCTGATTTTCGGCAGAGATATCAATCACGGAGCTGCCTGGCCACGATGGCATGTGTTCATCTATGTCCTGTGGCGTCAGGATATTTCTTCCGGGCTCGACATGGCTGACTGCCTACAATGGCGTGAGCCTCAGCTCTGAATCTCATTTTGATCAGCATGCAACATTCAAACTCTTCGTTCAGCTCAGCAACACCTCTTCAAGCGTCCCGTGTGAGTCACTGTGTATGCTGCCCCTTTTTCCGTAGCTGCGGCAACCACCCTCGCGATTCTAAACTATTCAATTCGAGTCGAGACCCCAAATCGTTAAACCTGGAAACATGAACCCTGAGACCCGAAGACCCTAGACCGTCAAATCCTGAATGCGCAAAAACCCTACTTATGACCTCTGGAACCCGTAAACGCTAATCGCTTCAAGTGCCTCCATTTCGCGGCAATCCTTCTGGAGTTCCTTCAGCGGCATCTCCTGTCAGCAGCAGCAAGCCGGCAAGCAGGGGATCCCTTTCGTCACACACGCACACAAACTTGATAGCACGTAGTTATACACTCGTAGCCTACTGTCTGCACTCATAAAATCAGCTTCAGTCGGCTTTGTACATGCAGGTACACAAGGGGGATCAGCCCTTGCTTCCCATGATTTCCCATGTCACTGGTAGCTTCGTTGGACACAGTCCCAGTGACATGCTGTGTCCCCCTGCGCCGTCCAAAGGGCCCTTGGCTTCGGGGATTCACACACACACAGACACGAACACAACTCCATGCTGCAACTTCAGCGAGAATCCTTCCAGCCTTTGCGCTAGACATTGGGTGGAATGACTGGCTATAGGTTTCCCATTCATGCTCTTGTCCTCTCGACAGTGCAGACGCACTTCAAAACACAACGCTATCAAGAGCACGAACTGCAGAGCCAGACTTCACGAACGAACGCAACCAGGACTTCGGTCTCGAGGCAGTGTGTTCTGCATCTTCCGTTTTCGAGCTCGGCCTGCCACATCACCAGCTTCTCCAGCAGCGCGAGCAGGTCGCGCTTCGTGTTAGGCTGAGGGGCCTCCGCGTAGAGAGCATTGCCACAGAACGAGATTTTCCCTGAGTCTGAGAGCCTCCGCCGGGATGTTCAGGGCCCTGAACTCCACCTCGCGAGCGGCAGCCATCGGAGTAAACCAGGCATGCTTCTTCAACAATGGCACAACATACCATGCAAACCGTTCAACCCAGTGTGCTCTGAGAGATGTAACGAACAACCGGCTTCATCAACAGAGTACGATCCGCAATGCTTCACCTGCAGAGACATGCGGCGCCATGTGAGGATGACAATAATACAATTTGTACAATGTCCTGGCCACACCTGCATAACAAGATACGAACCACACAAACATGTTCTAAAGCCTGGGACACCTACACTCGACTCATCATGGACGCTGCTCGGTGGCACGAGACATGAGCTTGTCCTTTAAAAATACAATTGGACATGCGACTTTTGTGCTCACAGACTGATTCTTGCAGCTATGAATGGTTTCCGGCCATCGTCTAACAGCCTAATTAATTTGCATTTCAGACGCACTGAGATATGATCGTAACGAAGCCTTTTGGTCAAGAGCTGTGCCTGCAGATCCTCGAGCGTCAACTCCACCAAGCGGGCCATCCTGGCGATTCCAGTGCGACTCGTTGCATCTGCGACTTGATCCCATCTCAAAATCCCAGGCCTCTCAAAATCTCGTTAGAGTGTGCAGACAGTGTACTACCAAGTAATTACAGCTTCGGGAAGTCCGGGCCGTTTTGGCCATTTGGAATTCTGGCTTCGGGACCAGATCATGGCGCTGAAAGTGTCATCTGGCGAACTGAGAATGCTGAAGGCAGCGCAGTCTCTTGGAGTCTTCCAGATGCAAAGTCGAAGTCCCTTTTCATTCCAGTGCCTTAGGAGCCGAGTGGCCTGGTGAAAACCAGCAAATCAAAATCCGCAGTCGATTCGAAGATCCCTCTGCGAGCCCTCCTCAAACCCTTCAGTTGAACTACCACCTAAACCCCAAGCGATGTCTGACGGCTGCAGCCTTTCGACGACCTTTGCTGCTGCGGCGCCGCTTCCGAAGCGCTTCACCTCACAGTGACTTATTTGCCCCTGTGCAGCTGAGGCGCTAAATAAGAAGTGCACAAAGTAATACTTTAATAAGGAATTGTGATGAACGTGGAAGACAGTAACGATCCGATTGAAAACCGTGCTGCAAGTGTTCAGGCAAGCAGTAACACGTTTAGTGATTCAAGATGATTCAAGCATGCGCAGGACTGTAGTGACGTTGTAGTGCACATGATGACGACGGTGATGATGATGATCATGATGAGAGCTCAATAGATACAGGAGCGACAGTGATGCTCATGGGCCGCTCATTGGCCGGCGAGACCAAGGCCCGCACAGGAATGCCCTGCGTCTCCCAAGCGGCATGGCAAACCTTACGAATTTCAACAAATGGTCTGGGTTGGCTTAGGGCTCCCATGACAAAATTCCATGATGGCGACATTTCTTCACTGATGCGGTTCTCTAGGCATCATCGAACTAGTCTTGGTCTGTTCTCAATGCTACAGCTGTCCCGTGCAAGCATGGTCCACACAATAGTGGCGAATTCCAGTTAGCATCCCATGACGATCGGTATCAGAGTTCCTGCTGTGACTACTGCTGTCTACGAAAGGGCATCGTTTGGCACCAATTGGTCTACTTATACGCCCCATTCACCTCAGGCCACGGCGTTCACGAACAGGCGCTCGCACAGCCTAGGGTTTCGACTCTCGCACTCGCACCAGGCAGGCAAAGCTCCTCATAGTTCGGTTCCGCTGAAGTGACCTAGACCCGATACGCCCCCGGTGCAGAAAGTGAGTGTTAACGACGAAACAACAACAACAACAACAACAACAACAGCAACAACAACAACAACAACGACAACAACAACAACAAAGCTGAAGGAGCAAGAAAGAGTTTGCTGAGGCGTACAGGGACAAGTCATCATATTTAGATACGTTGAAGACATTGCCTCACTGTTGCAAAAGCAGCCAGCCAATCGTTATATTCACCGAGTAGCGAGACCTAAGTCGCCAATCGTCACAGGTCACAGAAAATGCATTTAAGGTCAGGAAAACAGACATGCAGAAAAGAGCACGAAGCCCCAATTCTCTTGCCGCAGACCTGTATCCAGCCCTCATTGCGTAGCAAAAAGTCTTTCTGCTGCAGAAAGCATTTGTCGTTAGTCTTCTCTCTGCCCTGCAGTCTTCACCTTCGCCGCGTTTGCGGTGAAGGTCAGCATGATCTCGTGACAAACTACCTTTTGGGCGGAAGGAACAGCATTTTGCTGCATTTAGACACTGAGAAGATTGTTGAGGTAAAACGAATTGCAAGCAGGTGCAGAAACCAAATTCAAATGCTAAAGGTTTCATCAGCCGCGGAGTGCTCTGTCTGCTCATCACTGCCATGAAAGCGCCTGACGGCTGAGAGTTTACAGTGGAGTCCACAAGCACACAGAAGCCAGAATAGAAGAAGAAACACCGGAAGCAGTTGATCGTCTGCGGTTTGTCTCAACGAGAAGAAAACCGATCCCCAAACCAGTGAGGTAAAAGCCAGTACCACCGTGGAGGTCCAGAGCACGATGAGCCAACGGACCTGTTTCGAGCCTTTCCAACGTATCCGGAGGCCAAGCTTCCAAAGCGGCAAGGATATCCGAACCGCCAATATGCTGGCCAATGCCACTGTGCCCCACCGCGTTGCCACTCGCAAGCTCCAAACGAAGAAAGCATAACCAGAAAGGCCAGTAGAGCTATAAGCAGCAATCCACGTCGCGATGGGGTCTGCAATGTATGGAACACTGCTCGCGCCGACCATGTACAATGTGTAGTTCCCGGGCAAGGCAAACCCACTTGCAATCGCTGCAACGCGTGGAGCCAGTCCCTTGCGGATCTTGAGATTAAACTTGTCGAGATGAATACGGTCAGACTCCAGTTCTTCTCGCTCGGGGCCATACCACTTTCTCAGCATGCTGTACATCATCTGCCTGTCACATGGCAGCTGCGCTCCTGTGCACGGATGCCGGTGGTTGTTGGAGCAGCAGAAGCAGTCAGCGTCCTGCACTGAAAATGCTGCGAGCTGCCCAAATGCTTCATCCATTTCCGCGGCCAGCTCGATGCCCAGAGAGAAGAGCGGTAGAACTGCTGCAACAGCCACAAGCAGAATCAGGCCATTGAGCACCATGCCTGTTTTCAACGAGTTCTGGCCTGACTTCATTTCCCCTGCGGGAGAAACGAACTCGTAATACAGTACATTCCAGCCGATGACCAACAGAAACCAGATCCCGGAAGCCAAGCAAAGGAGTTGAGCTGTCTTCAAGGGCATGATCAGCATCTTCCTCTGCCTCGGCACATCCTTCAAGAACGTGGCCATTTCGAAGCAACACCATAATCGCTTGCAGTAATTCGATGTGAACAGGATGATGAGATCCTCTGAGTTCAGAAGGAAGGCTGGCATTCCCATGATACCGTGCCTTTTCAAGGAGGCGTCATGCTGTGCAATGCACATCTTGTCTACGAACACCATGGCCGGGCGCCGGAAGGGCCTCCGGAGCTGCTGCCAAAAACCAAAGACGACGAAGAAGGAGAAAATTCCGAAGACCACCGTCCAGTGCTCGTTGGGCAGCCGGCCAAAGCCCCGTAAGACTCCCACAAGGATACTGACCACGAGGCTCGTGCAAAATGCAGCACCGGAGTTGTAGACGATCAGCAACGACAGGACTTTCAGTAAACCGCTTGAAGCCCAATCGTGGCTTACAAAAGCGTCTAGTGCCTTCACTGGACGACTCAAGTCGCTGTAGTTCTTTGCCGCGGTCGCCTGACCCACCTGGCCTTCCACGTTCGTCCAGTGCCGCAGTTGGAGTGCCCAATGCAGGGGAACACCACGTAGGCGCTGGGCATCGAGCACCGTGCTCAACTCACTGATGCGGCCACTCACTGGGCTGCCCTGGCTCTCGTCCTCCTCCGAGCCGTCCCCACCCCGCGACATGGCGAATTACTTCGTTCCTGCTACGGCCTCGTGTTGAGCATCTCGGGCTTTTGAGGCTCACGGTTGAGTTTTGCCGTTCGTTTTTTGGGCTTCAGGGTCTTGCCTTTCGGTTCCGGGCTTATATGTCGTTGCGATTTGAGCCGCTGCGTTTTTGCGTTGCGGGCTACTTGCGCCATCTCCTAGCGGTGTCCCTATCGCTCGTGCATGCTTGGGGCTGGCAGATATTATCGATCTCATTCGGGTATTGTTAATGAGAGATTTTTCAATCTTGCAACCATATCCGCTTATGATTATTCACTCACTATCTCTTGTTCGGGAAGCCGAGGTTTTTCTCAGCTGCTGTCGCTGTCCCTGCTCAAGCTAGACATGCTGAATTTGTATTAGTAGGCATACTACTGAGAATCGAAGTAATAGTAGTGGTAGTAGCAGCAGTAGCAGTAGCAGTAGCAGTAGCAGCAGCAGCAGCAGCAGTTGTTGCAGTTGTTGCAGTTGCAGAGGCAGCAGTATCAGCAGCAGCAGCAGCAGCAGCAGCAGTCAAGTAGCTGTTGC